TTATAGTCCCACACTGCATGTTTTATGTTTTATGAAACCACATGTCATGTGGTAACTCACCATTGTATTTTCTGCTATTGGCCACTAATAATTCCACATGGTCCAGAAATTCATCCCTATGATGGTAATAATGGTGTTGTATATGTACTCGTATTGACTCTAAATCCATGGCATGCTTTATCACTTTGTAATAGTCCTTGACAAATTTGATATTAACTGGCTGATGAAAAGGCCATGACTAAAAAACAAGCAAAAAATGGTCAGTGCAAGGTTTTCCATATTAGCTCTGTGCACACTTGACAATTTGTAACAAGCAGAGCCTAAAACATAAAATACAATTTTTTACATTTACATATATTTTGGAAATTGACTTACATCTGGTACTTCCTTCATCTTAGAAACTATGCTATCCAATATGAATGAGAATGCTACTTGATCATCATCTCCAAGCAGCGGATTAATTGCTTTCTCAACACGTATAAATCTATCTTCTTTCTGCAAATATGTTAGAGAATTATTGAATAAAACTATAGTAACAAAATGACATTGTATTAAATCATGAGATTTCAATGAGATCTCTGTGTCATCCATGTTATTTACCCTTAAAACATGTTGTCAGGATGACATGATATTGTCTGAGTACACCATACATTAATGACTAAAATAGTCCAGCACAGCATGTGTGAAATTTATTTAACACTTTGTTTGTATGTACAAACCTCTGCCATTTTGTTTTTACATATTTCAACCATAGACTGTGCGGTCATGGTCAAAGCACTCTTGGCACCATTGTAAAGAGCACTATTACTTGCTATTTGCTGAATATCTTGCAGCATGTCTTCACGCGAACTGTACTTCTTTCTACGAACATTCTATTCAAGAAAACAATAATTATTATAATTGTTGCTTGTTATCTGTTATTGTTATAATGGATATTTTAGGTCATATAAAATAAACGTACCTCCCTCATAGTCTGTAAATCTACTGGTTTTTTGACAATTTTATAATAATCAGGAACTTGACGTGGATTTACTGGAGTATGGAATGGATAAGTCTGTCGAGGAAAAAAAGAAGAGAATTCAATCACTGAGACACCACACCGTTGCATTATGTAAGGTTTGTATGGAAATCAGTGACAAGTTTTGTTTCTATGTTAAACCATTGTCTATATATATTTCTATGTTAAACCATTGT